ATATAGGATCCTTCATAATTAGAACAGGGTGTTGGGGCCCATTATACTGTAATTAGATTAAGGAACCCCCAAAATAGTACCTAAACCCTAAACCCTAAACCCCGAACCTTAAACCCTAAACTCCGAGCCTTAAACCCTAAACCCTACACCCTAAACCCTAAACCCTACACCCTAAACCCTACACCCTACACCCTACACCCTAAACCCTACACCCTAAACGGTACACCCTACACACTGAACCCTAAACCCTACACCCTAAACCCTACATTAAATCGGCATCGAGCAACCTTTCGACTGCTGCTGGCAGAGGGCGTTGGCGCAGACTGGGCCGCCTGCAGAGAAGCTTAAGAACTAAATCCTAGGTTTCAGGGTTCTCGGTTTAGGATTTAGGGACCCTAAACACTAAACCCTAAACCCTAGACCCTATTTTAAATTTAGGGACCCTAAACCCTAGACCCTATTTTGAACCCCTAACCCCCCCCCAAAAAAAACATTTTCAGCAGTCAGGGCCGAACAAACTGTAGGGATTTAAACCTTTAAGGCTTACCGTTTAGGTTTAGGGTTCTATAGAGTTTAGGGTTCAGAAGTTTCAGGAGTTGTGGCTTGTAGGATTTATGATTAAAGCCTTGGGGTTTATGGTTTACTTTGTGCAAGGGTTTTGTGGGTGCTGCCTAAATGGGGAAGTTTTCCAAACGCGTTTTAGCTGCCCGAGATAGTACTGCACACTTATAAAAAGGAGGACCCCGCAAGGGACCCTAAAATCCTATAGAACCCCCGTGATATGCTGGTTTCTGTATAGAAACCCCGTAGAAACCCTTACAGATCCTTTTGAAGGACCCTAAGCCCTAAGCAGGACCCTATTCAGAAAGTTCCCATTATGTGTCTGTTGCGGTACCGTATGAATCTATTCGGCACGGTTTCGGTTTGGTGTTCCCAGAGACTCCAAAATCTCCAAAACCCTGAAATTAAGGAATATACCTTAAATCATGGCCGGCATCCTACTATAATTTAAAGTCTATTCCTTAATTCAGGGATATTGGAGTGTCTTGGTTTAGGCTTTAGGTATTAACTGTTCATTACAAAACAAATCGGGACTTTACACTGGGGAACCATCAGTGCAATACTGCGGAACGTGTACGTCGGCTGGGTCTGAGTCTAACTAGCATAGTGCAATGATGCAGTAATGGCAGGAAGGGGAATACTAATAGTGGTGGGAGCTAAGAGCAAGCTGCAGGAATACAGTAATCATCAACATGGGAACAAACATTCGAGCAATAATGACATTAGTAAGTTAGTAAGCAGAAGCATCCTAGCCGCTCCTAGCCTCGGGAAATGTCGTGACGATGCTGGTGGCCGAGAACAAACGTGCACGGTGCACATGCTAACACCAAGAACACAAAAGCAGCAGCAGCAGCAATAATAACTAGGACAGGGACAATGGCAAGGACCAGGTCAACGATCATGCGTCGCCAACACCACAACCACCACCTGCCAAAACAACAGCGACACCGCCACCAGCGTCACCACCACAACATCCCAACATCGGAACAGCCGCTACATAATTGCGAAACAATCCTACATATTGGTAGTTTTCAAAAATAGTACGGCACCTGTACAAGAAAGGACCCTAAAATGGACCCTAGTTTAGAGAACTCGATAGGGTTTAGGGTTTAGGGTTTGGGGTTTACGGTTTGCAAACCTATGAGCACTGTAGGGAAAGGAGAGGCAGACAACCTTCTCAAACCTTTCTTCTCCTCCCCCCTCCCCTCCCCCAACTTGGAGGTTCATGAAGTACTTTTACAAATACCTTAACTGCGGCTAGAACGGATTGTAAGGCATAAGTATGGATACCTTGTCCAGAACCTCATAGTTACTAAGCACTCATCTCACTGCTCCTCTGCATCCTAAACCCTAGTCCCTAAACCCTAAACCCTAATCCCTATACCCTAAACCCTAAACCCTAATCCCTACACCCTATACCCTAAACCCTGAACCCTCTTTTTTCAGGGAGACTCGGCCACATAGGGTTCGAGGTGAGACCACGACGACTCCAGGAGCATTGCCCGGAAGTCCAGCTCAGAGAGACCCGCCCTTGGTGGGAACTTCAGTTTGGGGTATAAGGTTGAGGGTTTAGGGATTTAGGGTTTAGGGTTTAGGGATTTAGGGTTTAGGGTTTAGGGGTTTAGGGTTTAGGGTTTAGGGGTTTAGGGTTTGGGTTATAGGGTTTAGGGTGGGGTATAGGGTTTAGGGTTTGGGGTACAGGCTTTAGGGTTTAGAGGTTAATAGGTTCATAAGGGGACAGGGTTCAGGGATCCGGGTGAAGGGGCGTAGTAAGGGTTTTAGGCTCAGGGTTTGAGGTTCCGGGTTCAGGCTGGAGCGTTTACATGCGGTTGATGATATAAATCCTGCATTACTCTTACTCAGGAATATTCCATGACTCCCATAGTTTTGGGTCTTTAAGGTAATGCCGGATTTATATCCCTAAACCCTAAACCCTAAACCCTGAACCCTGAACCCTAAACCCTAAACCCTAGGGTTTAGGTTTTGGGGCTGTGAGGTGCAGAGGTTCCTACAGGTTCTGCAAGCGTACCACACGTGTTCTGTCAGGGTTAAGGAATCAGAGCTGAGGGTTTAGGGTTTAGGGTTTGAGGGTTTGGAGGTCGTGGGATTTGCAAGATTCAACCCAAAACCCTGGATCCCTAAACCGTTGAATTAGTATACCAATACTATTTCGGGGGGGGGGGGTGGGTCCTTATTATGGTTATAGTATAATATACCCCAGAACCTGATTCTAATTATTATTATTATTATTAAGGCCCCTATATGACGGGGTTTAGCATCTGCGTCCTAACCCTAAGAGTCCATGTACCCAAACAGTATATACATTGGCCCTAAAGTACCTATATAGGGACTACAATAAGGCCAAAGTATATACTATTTGTGTACATGGACTCTCAAGGTAGCTCCTAAACCCTTAACCCTAAACCTAAACCCTAAACCCTAAACCCTCCTAAACCCCAAACCCTCAACTATTTTTGGTACAGGGACCTTTACTTGGAGGATCATGGGACTTAGTAAGTAAGGTTATAAGTCCCCTAATTGTGGTTATAGGTATAGTTACCTTAGTTATAACCCTACTTACTAAGTCCCATGATCCTTTAAGTCCTAAACCCTAACCCTAAACCCTAAACCCTAAACCCTACTTACTAAGTCCCATGATCCTTTAAGTAGGGCTAAAT